AAATACGTTATATATCGAGAAGGAGACTCAACTGGTTTTTGCCTTTGAATCCCTGTGCTCCGGGTCTTTCATTGTTATCCATCTCTCCGGTCCTTTCTCCTGTCTACTTCATCCAGTTGCCTCTCTCCGTCTACACTATGCCTCGTCAACATGGTGCTCGTCTGGCATACCTTGAGAGCAAGGTGCCAGAGTACTTCGCCGCTGTCCAGGGTGGTTACGGCCCTGAGTTTCTTGCTCTGGTGGTTGCTGGCTACTTGAGACGCTTCAGACCTGATAAGGGTGAGGAGTACGAACCTACCGCCGCGGAGCTTGCTGCCATCGACGATGACAACGCTGAGGACGAGGAATGGCTTATCGAGCCCATTCGAAAGGAGGACGAGGTCGTGGAGAAGTTCCTTGAGCGTCTTGAAGAGTTCAAACAGCTGAAGAAGGTGGTTGCTTCGAAGATTGATGTACGTGACTCGTGACATGTTTGTGACAATCATGACTCATCCTTAGCTCTCACAGCAAGTGGAACGGTGGATGCGCTATTGCTACAGGAAGCACCAAGAGCTGAAGATGAAAGAGTCCGACGCGTTCAGGAAGCTTTTGACCAAGCTTACTGGTCTTGAGACGGGTCCTGGTCGACGCCGTGTGCCCTATGTGGAATGGGGTCGAGCCAATCCCGAACTCGCCGATGAGCTTGTCCGCAATCATCTGAGCTCTAAAAATGGTACGTATAGCAATATCCTGTCCGTTTGAATAGTGCTAACGTTGTTCTTCCAGAGGAAACCACCTTGCGAGCGAACGCGATTGCAGAGGGATGGTCTGCTATACCGGCTACGGAGCAAGATAACTGGAACCAGAAAGCTCTCAATCGATTTGAGAAAGACTGCAGTGATGGGATTTTGGGTGCTCCCTATCCTGGCTACCTTCTGTGGGCACAAAGGTACAGCTTGGAGGTGGATCAGCGTGTGCAGGTAGCGGTAGCTGAAAATGCAAGGACTCAAAAATACGTTAAAAAAGGTACGTTCACCTTGCCATTGATATGGTCCCCATCTGACATATGTTTAGGTGCCGATGCCTATGTCGCCGTCCGTCAAGGAGTTCTCAAGCAAGAGTTTGCGAAGCTGTCGTCCGAAGACCAACAGAAGTGGCGTGAGGTTGCCCAGGAAAATCACAACGAACGTGTAGCTGCTTACAACCAACTCAAGGCTGCGCCTTATTCTAGGGCACCTGAGGACCGTCAAAAGTGAGTGGTATTATTACTGCGGGTAACCTCAACTGATGATCTTTGCAGAGCCATTGAGCGAATCGGAGCGTTCATGACTCCAATCCTAGAAGAACTGTCGGAGGCGACAGGTTGGAACTTTTCGATGTTTGGTGGTGGTCCAGAGCCTGCCGACGGAGGGCGTCTGAATACCGTGGCGTGAGTAGCTAAGATGTTTCATGTATTGAAGTCGTGATATATTAATATATATCTCTTCAGATTACATATTGGATTGACGGCCGGTCCCGTATCATCTACGTTTGGAGGCCTGTTCAGGCCTCAAATCAAGCAGACGATCAACAATCTCTACGGTTCTTTTTTGAAGAGGTGTTTTAGTAAGTCAATGAGTGGTCATATTTCTTGCTGTTACTAATTGGTGTCACAGGCGTTGCGGAGTGCCGTAGTAGGGCCATGCCGAATCCTGGCCTTCCACGTGAAGCGGAAGAAGAGGATCCCACCCATCGCATTGTTCATGATACCATCGAGGATCAAGGAGGCCGTGGAGACACATCGCAAGCAGCAGAAGATAAAGCTTCGAAGCCTGCTCCTTCAGCCGTCAAGCGTACATCCGTGCCCGAGGCCATTCATCCTTCTTCCAATGCATCGTCGAAGGTCGCTAAATCGGCTGTTAAGCCAATACCAGTTGCCAAGCCCATTACTCCATCTTCCACCGTCCCTTCGGCGTCTTCATCAAGATCAGGTTCGCATGCACGTATCAGGCCACCGACGACCCCTCCTCGTCTTGCTCCCCAAGGTTCTACAACTCCAGCAGCATCTGCAAAAGGGGCAAGATCGACGCCTTCTGATACCGTTAAGGGCAAAGAAGCTGTACGCTCCACTACGAACACGGTTCGCGAACAGTCTCGCGCGTCTTCTCCAATATCAGTACCTCGATCTTCTCCACCTTCCTCACCCTCTATGCCTCCTCAATCTCTGCCTCCACCTTCTCCTCAATCGATTCGATCATCGCCAGATCCTCAGCCGGAACCAGAGCATGTACACGAAGCGTCTGGAGCATCAAACTCACCGATCCAGGTGTTCTCTTCTCCTCCCGCACCAAGCCCAAGGACATACAAGGGAAGGAAACGCGCTGTAGAGTCAGATAGTTCTCCAGTTAAGCCTGGACCGTCGACCAAACGCAGTAAGAGCACCTTTGTCGGCGTTGTCATACCAGTGCCAGCAGCAGGTGGTTCCTCAGCAACGTCATCTAGGAAGAAGAGAGGACAGGACAACGAAGAACCATCGACCTCGGTACCTTTATCGGCCCCGGTAGACTCGTCATCATCATCACAACCTGCACCGACGTCGAAACGACGTAAGACGGAGAGCAATCGTGGCGCCGAGGATCCTATTCCGGAACATGTCCCGCACATGGTCAGCAGCCCTGCTGGATGTGCTGAGTATGCTCAGACGGTTCTGTCCATTTGTCATGAGGCGCAGATGGATCGGCAGTTCCGTGATCTGGTGGTGAACTGGTTGTATCTGGACGGGAAAGCGAATTACACTGGTGCTGTGCGCCTTTCTGCAACTCACCGCCCACCGGATATTGGGTTTTGGATTGCACGCGCTCGTCCTGTGGGGTACAAGACGAAGAAGATGCAGAATCTGCAAACCTTCGCTGATGAGTTCGAAGCATGGTACAAACATTGCGCTCCATCATGGCGGAAGGCTAGTGGCCCCGGCATTCGCTTGTCAAGAGAGGAAGGGAAGGACTGGACGTCGATGGCCAAGTTCGGGATCAATGGCATCGTCAATTTCGTCGTCGGGCTTGCGTGGTGGAAGCTGGAGCTGAAGAGGCTTCCTTGCCGGACACCTCGTGAGCGGCAGTTCAAGGCTGGTCAGTTTGCGTTGTACATGGCAGCATTGGACGAAGTAGACTATACGTTCCGTAGTTTAAAGGATGCAGGATACTAATTCATTGTCAGGCAGGGCATTTTTTTTCCCTTTTGGGGTTTTTGGTCCTGCGAATGTGTGTAGATGCAATGTCGTTTGGTGTAGTGATTAAAATTTTTTTAAAAGGGGAACTGAGTGAAGGGGATATCCCCAATAAATGAGGTATGCTAAGCAAAGACAGTATGGCTCAGTTGGTTTGAGCGCCCACTCACGTGCGGTTGCCTTGCTACCCTGAGGTCAGTGGTTCAACTCGGGCGGGTGTCAGCTAAATTTTGGCTGACTATCCACTCTGATTTGTTCTCTCCACCGCCCAAAGGCAAACAGGTAATTGACTTAGGTGGAGTGTTGGGGATAACTGGTAATTACCTAGATAGGACTGTTTGAGGGTGCCCCTTCAGGTGCAGCCTGGTAATAGAGTATAGATACGGTCTACAGGTTTCAACGTGTATCCTAGCGCAATCATATAGGGCTAACGACGACATCAACGTCTATGCACGCGTAGCTAGTATTCACTACGCAGTGCATGCCTATCTTATTCTTCGTCATATGTGCACTACTAGGTTCCTAGTAGTACTACTAAGTCCATATAGTACTTAGTACAATGTACTAGTGTGATTCTGAACACAACAATTAGTGTCAAAATGACTGTTTTTCAGCGATTTCGTTCTGGTACCCTCACATCGCGACCTCTCAAGTTCTTGTCTGCAGTAAGATCTCAACTAGTCTTCTCAATGAGGCTAGGGCCTGACTTGGGTAGAGTTCTGATCGGACAATAGCAATCTATTTGTACGATAACCACATACAACACGTAATGTGCAAGTGGGGGGCAGAATCCTCTGCAGTCCCCGTACATTTGGTGTCCTTTTTATACTGTCCAAGGTGAATAAACTAAATAATAGGTAATCTGAGTCGGAATAACTGCGGAACAAGACAGAAAAGAGATGGAAACAGAGTCGGAAGAGAGATACAACAAGAAAATATACATATCAGGGAGATCTATAGGTCACAACATCCATATATGACGCAAATAGTGTGACGAGCGAGTGGTAACACTCTGTTTTAAGGTACAGGAGCTGAATTCTGGCCGACAGATAGGTGTTTAGCCTTTATAAAATTTTCTTTTCCATGCACCAAGCGCTTTTCCACCAATCGGAGGCCTGGCAGGGTCCTCCCGAGCTCCTCATCACTCAACACTGTTCCTCCACATAACACTGCCTCTAAATTTTCTTATTCACTCCATGTAGACGTGTTCCAATAAGATATATCAGAGGGAATCTGCTTCCGCCACCGTAACAACAGTTTGAACAGCTTTGCCTCTGCTCTGATCAATAGGTTCAACTTTGGCTGACAGGTCTCTAGACCCTTGCCGTATCTGGCATCGGTGATTTCCAATCAGTTTCCCCCTCTGCTATCAGTCCCGAGTGATGCCCAAGCCAGTATAACTCTCTGGTGTGTGTGAAGGAGTAAATTAACTTGTAAGAATCCCTTTGGTGCATCCGTTAGGTGATCTAAGCATAGTCCGTAGTGAATTCACTTATGGACCTTCTCCCTACAGTTTTCAGGAGGTGATTGTACTTCGACAACTACTGGTAGAAGTAATAGTGGTGGTCAGATACCTATGTGGGGCGTACCATGTACCATGATCCACTAATATAACCACCTAAAACACCTTCCGTCCAATGACTAGCTATTCAGGGCTCATACTAGTCCTTCTATAACCATTATGGGTTTATGCAACAATGATAAAGTGCAAAACTAGCATATTTGTGTTCGAAAAAGAAGTGATTAAAGTCAGGCATATCACTGGACAAGCCAAAATCTTGGTGATATTTCAATGTGCAATTCCTATAAGAGTAACGCCGTGATAGCCTAGTGGTAGGGCACTACCTTTCACATGTTAGGGTTAGCAAAGGTTACCACATGTGTCGGGGAGAAACCCATGGTTCGATTCCTGGTCATGGCAATGTTTAAAAGGAGTCACTTTTTGTTTGGAGTCTTTTTTATATCTGGACACCTAGTTTCTACTTGGTGTCTTGATACCATCTTGACAATCTTAGGCATAGAGCTGTGATGGAGCGTAGCTTTTTCCTTTCATTTCTCTAAGTCCCCTTATCTATTTTCTTATCTTCATCTTATCATTTTCCACTTATATCGCGTACAGCCTCTCATCCACCGGAACATTCCACATCATTCTTCCATTGTTCTACATCTTTCTGTATCATTCTGATTGCTTACTTGTACAGTTCTCGCCGAGACAGACTCTTCACATATAAACCGTAGTTGTAGATGCCTAGTTCCCCATCTTGACTTCTTGGTCATTTGGGCTAGGCAAGTCGTCTTGTATTTTATTCCTTTAGTTATGCTAACTTGGTCATTTGGGCTAGTATCTGACTCGTATCTGCCTGCTCAACGTCATATAGAGCCTTGTGCCTACGCCGGATCACCCCCTTTTTCCCTTATCATCATTGCTCAGCACCGCTATCTGTAGGGAGGTAGTTGGTTCGCCCTCACAAGAGCCAATAGGAAATCCATGTGAAAGATTGTTGACAAGGAGTGGGAATGACAAAATGAGGTTGGTATTGAGGAGGTGTCTGTGGAAGGCTTGGGGATTGTATGGGGTCTGAATCTGAGAAAATATTTTGTTCTTAAGAAGGGAAGAACTGGGAAAGTCATGTGGGTGAATGGAATGTATGAAATCGCGGTATTCGAGACTGGCTGTCAAAGGTCTCAGGCCAACATCTGCTTCAGTTGCCTTTAGCTGGTTGAGCTCTGCAGGTCCAGGAGAGTGCGTAATGAGAGGAGAAGCCACAAAAGGTGTCGTAGTTACAGTTTAGTGCGAGTGAAAGGTGAAAGTGTAGAATATTCTCACGCTTTCCATTCTCTTCTCCTCGTCGTTCCGCCTCCACTTCTTACTCATTTCTTACTAAGACTCTCCACTTGATTACTGATACTTAGAATATTCTAGATACTCTACTGTAGGTATAAAAGCTAGCCTGTATCCTGTAGGTAGAGATAACCACTCAATACCTAATCCACAACAAAAGGAGCAGATATGTGCTCGTTTACAATGAGCACACTTTCCTTCTCCATGCTTGCCCCTGTGCAGGTTGAAGTTAATGCAGATAGTCTTACTGGCCTGTGCTCCCTTTGGTGCAATGAGTTCGTCTCCTTTGACAGCAGCCCAAAGTGATGGTGTGCTCTTGGGGTGTGAACGGACACTGTGTCCTTGTTCTGAATAGACCAAGCAGTACTGCACCAAGGAGTTCACCACACTGCTACTTCAAAAGGACTGGTTATAAGGTGGGGCTCAGTCATTGTTGGTCTTCATGTTGCAAGTGTGACATTGATGGCCTGCCCCAGAAGAGGGTTGTGAGACTGTGGGATGTGAAGGGAAAGAGGAACAATTTTTTTCAATGGCCATATTGGCAGTACAACAGGCACCCATGATTTCATGATACTGACCAATATTGAAAGCAACTGGGTTGCTACCAAAGTGGACCATGCAGAGCTCGTATTCTTTCTTCTTCCAAAGAGTGTACAGCTCCTCAGCATCCACCTGAATCACAAAAAAGGCAAAATGCTGTTCAGCCCATATACTCTGCATGTCTTCTTTGCCATCTGGGTCCATTTTAGTGATCATGCAAGTGTAATTAATGGCAGCCCAAGTAAACTCATGAAAGGTGAGTCCATCCATGGGGTTATTTATAGGTATCTTCATCATCTTCACTATTCAGTCGAGGCTGAGAACTGAGGCTTTTGAGCCATCCAACACTGGCTTCTTTATAATGGGGATTTGTGACTCTCGCTCGAGAAAAGTTCCGAGATTGGCATCAGTGAGGAGGGCAAGTGGGAGTTTGTCGGTGAGGTGTAGGTGTTTGAGTTCCTTGGGAATCATGATGGAAGCAATGTGCTGTATTTCATATGGCTGCTCTGTGATGTGGGGCACATAGATGCTGTCATCAGAGTTGGTGCTGGCAGCACCCTTACCCTTATCCCTCATGGCCATCCAGCTCTCCACCTTAGCCAGTACCCTATCTGGCATGTAAGGTTTCAACCTCTCAAATAGACTCTTCAACTCCATGATTTGTCCCCAATCCTCACTCGTAATATCCACATAAGAGGCTACAGGTGATCCGGCAGGTTTAGATGGGTCCCTGGCATGTTCAAACATCTTCCTCTTTCTCTCTGAGTTTTCTTGCCTGATACAACTGTTCATTTTGAAATTTTCTTTGAGTGAAAGGGACTTGATAAAAGTGACCGCTGCCTCATCGGCGTGAGTGTGACACTGGCAGTCAGACATTGATAATGTGCGTTCCATGAGTTTGTCAAGGTCGAATTGGGTCATATCAGAGTTCAGCTAGTGATGAAGAAGAGCTAAAAAGAGGACAAGGAGACAAGGAGGCAGCAAGGAGATGAGCATTGGAGGAAGATGCACATTAGCAAGTCAGGTGTGCACTCATCTCCTCACACCTTCCTTATCCTCTGATAAGCCTCTGCAGGCTCCAGCTTATCTCAGAATATATATATAGTACATCATAATAATCAGATAAGGAATGTGTTGTTCCCACGCCAGTAATACCAACACCCCCAATATGACATTGTCATGTTGAAACTATCTTTAGATTAGATTATATCCACTCTATCTCTAAGCACCACTCAGAATTCCTTATTCTTACTATACATACCACCTGGGCTCCTATGTGGGTTACTTCTGTACTTTAGTATATAAGCTAGTTGGTATCTACTGGAATAGACAGTGCTTTACACACTATCAAGTCGCATACGCTTCTATCTCTCATCAGATATATTCATCAGGTAAGCCTCAGTCAATCCACTGCCACTGTGGTAGGCTAGGCATATGCTTCAACAGGTTATGGGCCCTGGTCACCACAATGATAAGTGCTGTAATTAGCTGCTGTCAGGCTTGACTGGTTGTACCTGTCCATTATACTAGACATTGGTTTCACGCCTTTAATTTGCGCCATTACAGCTGCATTTATGTTGTCATGACACAATGCTGATTATGTTCATCAGAACTTTTATTGCTATGTCTTCTGATACAACTTCTGCTTCTTCCATCAACCAAGTCCCTGTCCTCAATGGGTTCAACTTCTGCCAGTGGGAGGACAAACTCATCCCTTTCCTTATATTCAAGGGACTTCACCAAGTTGTGAAGGGGTATGTTGTCCACCCTGCCAAACTGGAGCCCTCTGGAGAGCACAGTCCCACTGCTGAGCAGATTGCTGCTCGTGATAAGGAGATTCGCAAATGGGACAACCTTGACAATCAGGCCCTATGTGCCATCGAGCTCACCATCAAGCAGTCCCTCAAGCATCATGTCAAGGCGACTGCTAAACTCACCTATGATGAGCTCAAGAACACCTATAGTATACCTGGCCCTGCCGTCATCTTTGCCAACTTCAAGAAGGCATTGATGTTCCAACTCTCTGGAACCAGTAATCCATTGCCGGAGATCAACAAGCTGCTCACCATTTTTGAGTGCTTGAAGCAGAACAGCATGACTCTTACCAAGCTGCAACATGTGCTCATTCTTCTTGCCACTATCCCAGCAAGGTGGGACTCAGTCCCGGCTCTCTTCTTGCAAAAGAAGACTAGTGAACTAGATTTCACTCAGATTCGCAACACTATTGTCACTGAATTTGAATGCTGTGACACAAACAACACCTCTGCTATGTGCCTTTTGGCTGTCAGATGCAAGGGGCATGACCCTAACTATGGGGAATCCCGCCAGAGTCAGAATCCCAAGCCTAATGGTAAGGGTAAAACCTTCGAGTGTGGGAAACAGCAACAGAAGAAGAAGCAGCAGCAGCTGTTCCATCATCATCACTCTCACACAGCTATTGCCAACCTGGCATCTTGAATTGGACCTACTCTTTGGTTGCTTCTTTTAATCTGAATGGAGTTATCTCCAGGAGAGTTGAGACTAGATCTCTGCAAACCTATCAAGGTAGTGTACCTTCCAGCTCTGTTCAGGCACAATTTCGAAGCCCTTGAGAACATTGTTATGCTGGGCCTGGACTGGAGTGCTACATTGGTATAGGAATAGGATTAGGATTATAAAAATGAATGAGAGACCGTTCACTATGCATAGAACAGGAATATCAATTGCATCCATGAATCCCACGGCAGGAATCCATATGCCAGACTAATCAATTCCTGCACAATTACAGAAAACATGTACTATGGATGTAGTATTGCAGGGATTGATCTGGAGGGCTTGGGGAACCTCAAAATTGAATTCAGGATGAAAAATCAGTTAAGAATATATCCAGGTTTGAAAGGAATCCATCCACAATTGACTTCAATATGCATAAATCAAGTTAAATACACAGATATATATGCAATATATGTTAACTATAAGCATAAAACTTGTCAGATACATATCTCAAGCTACAGTGATTGGATTTCTTTCAAACCTGGATATATTCTTAACTGATTTTTCATCCTGAATTCAATTTTGAGGTTCCCCAAGCCCTCCAGATCAATCCCTGCAATACTACATCCATAGTACATGTTTTCTGTAATTGTGCAGGAATTGATTAGTCTGGCATATGGATTCCTGCTGTGGGATTCATGGATGCAATTGATATTCTTGTTCTATGCATAGTAAACAGTCTCTCATTCATTTTTGGGGATTTTAGGAGCAATCCCCATGCTCCAGTACAAAACAACCCCTAAAAATGTGATTTTTTATATAGCATCATACAGATGTATTCAAAAAATGTCCTTTCATAGTAGGAAACTGTATTTTGGGGTACTTGAACTTGATTCTGAACTCCCCTTGGTGCTAGGATGCTTCCCTGTAGTGCTATTCATATATTACTGCCTGTGTTACATAACTGCACAATACATTGGATTGAACAAAGTGTTGCACATACAGGAGTGCTTGGGCAAGTATATGTTCATCATCTGTACACCCTAAAGTGGGTTATGAACAAGAAT